GGCTTCCTCGCAATTCGGCGAAGCTGAAGCCGCCGTCCTGATGACATTGCGACTCCACCGCTGGTAGTTGGCAGCGTCAATAACCACTTCCAAGACGATCTTCCCCGTCTTACCTGCATACTCCCAATATGGAATAGAAGCTGGGGCAACATCCATCAACGGGACTGGGCCCCTGCCCCCGTCGCTGCCCCCTGGCGGACCACCCCCGGGCGATCCTCCGCCACGCCGGCGCTGGCGGTCTGGATTGCTATCCGTCGGGTGTTGAATGCCCGTCGTCTTCAAAGAAGAAGTCGCCATCATCCTCGTCATCATCATTACCGTCATCTCCACCGCTATCGCCAGGAGGGCCTGAGCCTGGGTGTTTCGGCATTGGTGCCTTCCTCGGGGGTGTTGCCCCATTTTCCTTCTCTCTTTGAATATGCTTGGCAAGCTCACGCGGCGTTGGAGGTGTGCGTGTTGGGAAAGAAGTAGCCGTGCTGGCGCGAGCTGCCCCCAATTCGGAATTCACTATGGCGGCAGCCCCTTCAGCTCTTTCCTCGCGCATGTCCTGGATCTTTACCCTGCGTTCAGCGCGCGTCCTGGCGTTCCCCTCGTCGCGCTGCATCGCCATCTCGGGCTGCCCCTTGAGCCTCTCATTTTCGGCCTTCATGGATTCTTTAAACTCAAGTAGCCTCTTCGACCCAATCCTCTCGGTCCGACGGCCGTCGCTTCCCGAGGCGTAGCCCTGGGCGTGAGTGGGCCGATGCGAGCGGTCGCGAGAGGCCGCCCTCGGCGGAGGCGCAGCGGCGCTTTGTTCCTGAAGTTTTTTCTAACCTGACGTTCCTCGCTTTCTTTTTCCCGGAATCTTTCATCGTCTTCGTTCTCCTTAGCTGATGAGTATGAGTGTTCTCCGTGGCAGCGTGCGCGCGTCTTGCCATCCTGTGCGAAATTGTCGTCGTGCGCGCCTTTGCCGCAGAGTGATCAGTCGTTAGTAGCAGAGCTCCCGCATGAGAATTCCGACCTGGGTTTCCATGTGCGGCCGGTCGCCCAATCGCGGTCGGCGCCGCCGAATGAGCTGTGGGCGCCGTTGTCGACCCGGTGCCCGGAGATGTTGCCGAAGACGCCCCTTTCGGATGCCGCTGGATCTGATGCTGATCAAGCTTGCGATGCGCACTGTCCAGCTAGGCTTCCCGTCTCATCATCACCTGGGCAGCCTCCAACTCCGCTGCGCGAGTCTGCGCTGCGACTTTCACCTCAACAATCACCTCAACTTGTCGCATTTCCTCGCGGGCGCGTGGCATCTCGGCCTCGGATCGAGCATGGCTCTCGTCCGCGACGAGTCGGTTCGTCTCGGCCTGATGTGTGGCAGCGGCGGCCTCTGCGGCTACTGGCGTGTTCCGAATTTTTGCCGCTTGCAACTCTATGGTGGCCTGTGTCGTAGTCGCGCGCTGAGCTTCGCCAGCCCCCCAGACGGCGCGCCTCGCCGATTCGGCGAGATACTTCTCCTGGAGCTGTGCTGGGCGCTCGGAGGCGACAGCGTACTCGAGCCTATTGGCGAGCTCCCTCATTTCCTCTGTCGCGGCGCAAGCCTGTTGAGCTGCCGCCGCCTGTTGGCGCTCTTCCAGGCAGCGCGCGGCGTTCGCCGTGGCATCCCGGTCTCGCTCCCACTGAAGGGGGGCAACCGCTTGTTGTTGAAGCTCCGACTACCTCACTTGCTCGCGCATGTCAGCGATATCTTCACCCCGTCTTTCCATAATCTTATACCTCTTCCTTTCCCCGGCCTCGCGCCGCTCATTTACGCGTCACCCGGCGCAGTCGTGCGAACCGGGGGCCGTGCGCGTTGGGCGTGGGAAGTCTAGGTTGCAGAGGCCACAGATGCCAAGGCACCCGAAACATACTGGCTTCTTACACAAGCCCGATAAGCCAGGGCACACCGCGATTCTGGCACCGCGGCGCACTTCGGTCCATGGTGGGCACACTCGGCGTTGATGCGCATGCTGAGGGTGCTCGATCTTCCTGACAAGCTGGACAAATCAGACATCTCGGATCGCGGTCTCGGGGCCCCGGGCCTGCCTCTCTCTCGGTGCTTCTCTTGCGAGGAGAGCGGGCGCGTGAGTCAGGCGCCCCGCATGTCGAGGTCCGCGGTGGGGATCTGGGAGCATAGTTCCCGGGCATACCCCCCGGAGCGGACATGGGGTGGCGCTCGGGGATGTCGCCGGATTCGCTTCGCTTTCCGAATGGCGAGGTCATCGAAAGACTAGTCGGCTCACGTCTCTGTTTGCTTGTCGTCCTTACAGGGTCACCCTCGAACTCATCATCTATGCTCTCCTCCAAATTCCGCTCCAAAGAATCATCGTATCCTCGCCGCACATAGGCGGTGCCTGCGCATGGGGTTGTTGGAGATCACCCAATGGAGCAGGAGACGCTTGGCCATGGACCTCGAATCCCTCATCGTACGGCCCTTGACCATCATGGAAATCAATCGGCTTGGGCGTTGACCTGCGTAAGGCAGTTTCCTCCGATGATCGTGGTCGTCATCCGACTGGTCGTGGTCGTCATCCGAATGGTGCTTGAAAACATCCGCTCGGTCGTCGAGCGGCATTAGGTCCCCTTGATCTTCTCCGTCTCGGCCAAGTCGAGTGGTGCTTTTGTTCTTCGGAGTACCCAGGACGAGGCTCATCATCGCACGAGAGGTTCCATCATATTTTTGTGGATGGACGTTGGTTTGATTTCCCGACATAATCAGCATAACCGTGTTCTAGAACATCTATAACTCATGTCATGGCGTGATCCTTCTTCGGGGCGTACATCATCCTTGGATGGGTGAACCATACTTCCCTCGTCTGGTCGAATCACTTGAGTCGAAAACACAGGCTTTCAGCTGATAGCCAACATTTTGCGAATTCTTTGTTAATGTGGGATCTTTCTTTGACCATGCTGATCGGCAAAATGTGATGATGATCGTCGTGCAACTCTTCATCCTCATCTTCGTCCTGTAGTCGTCTTTTACTCAGGTTTATGTCCAACGTAGATGATGCATCCGTCGGTGCCGTGGCGAAATGAGTGTGGTAGGGTGTCCGTTAGGCTCTGAGCTAACAATAAGATGAGAGGGGGCCAGCCGGCCGGGGCAGAGCGCCCGGGAGGGCGCGCGCGCCGGTCGAGCGGGCCGCGACCTTCTTAACTGGAGCCAGCCCACAACAGCTGCGTCGAAGCTGTGGGTCAGACGTGGGCCCAGGGCGGGGGGGGGACTAAATCAACTGGGTCGGCGTCCTCTCCCGTCGTTCACAACGGCGGTCTCGCCCCAAGGCGGGCAATTTTCTGGATCCGAATATAGCTTCATTGTGGTCCCCCACACTCGTTTCCCCTCTTCCGCCTTTTCCTGGTTCTTCTATTCCTCCCGCTCCTTCCACTCCAGTTCCTGCCGCTGATGTTCGTCTCGCCCAAGCGAGGTCCACTTTTCTGAGAGGTCCGCTTTTCTGACGTCGAGCCTTTCTTCATCGTTGTCGCCCCCCTCACTTCTCGTCCTCCGCCTTCCCCTGGTTCCTTTTCTTCCCGATCCTTCCGCTTCAATTCCTCCTGCTGCTGCTCGTCATCCTTTTTCTCCCGCTCACCCGCCACTTCCTCTTCCTGTGCACGCACCCCCTTTTTTTTCTCGGATTGCGCATGCCACGAAGTGGTCTTTGGGTGGGAGTCGCAGGTCGGCTATGACGCGCGTCCGCGGATAATGAAAAATCACCGCCATGGGAAGGGATGGGAGGGAGGGAAATGATGCCAGATGAGGCGCGAGCGCACCTAGCTTGTCTTACCCCCCTCTCCGCTCGCCCGTGCCTCACAATATTCCAGTGCTCGTTGTGGAACGGGTCCCAGGATTTTGCGACCTAGGTCTAGTGTGCGATACCCGATCAGGAGATCAGAACGCCTGCTAGTTTTCACCGAGGTGATGCAAAATTGCTGGATGAACGAGCACCCCATTCTTACATGGGGGGGGGCTGCGCTTCGATGGCCAAGCGCTTGTGCCAGAGCCCCTCAAGAAAATATATCAGGGATATGTGGACAGAACCCTTGTATTTCTTCTCAACGTTTTCTTCTGCCTCGGCCTCCTCTTCCCCCCGTCCTCCATTGTCAGTCTATCTCCTGCTGATCCTCGTCGTCATCGTCCTCCTCTTCCTCCTCCCACAGGGTCAATCTCCGTTCCGCCTCCTCCTCAATATCCTTCTGCCGCTCCTGCTCATCTGCGGTATCTTTTTTCAATCCTGTTCCACCTTCCCCCTTGTCTCTCCATCCTGTTTTTCCTTCTCCGCCCTGGCATCCCCGACCTCACTTTTTCATCCCGCTTCTCCCCCTAGCATCCTCACACTCCTCCGCTTCCTCTCTTCCTCCTCCTCCTCCGCTTCCTCCTCCCGCGTCCTCCTCATCCTCCTGTTCCCGTGCCTCTCCTTGCCGCCCCGGCCCTCCACCTCCTCATCCTCTCGCAGATCAAGCGCCAAGGGGGGCACTTCCTCTGGAAAGCACCGCGGTCCTCCCGAAGAAGCCCCGGGGGCTCTCCCGAGAATGCTCGGACCAACGGAGAGAATTTCCCGAGTCCCCTCCCCCCCCCCATCTGGTGGGAGCCTTCCGAAGTCTTGCCGCGCTCCACCCTTCCCCCCCCCGCTCCCCCCCCCCCCGCCCCTGGAAGCTTCCGAATCCCCCCTGCCTCCTCGCCGTTTCCTCCCCTCTGCCCGCTCTCCCCACATCTGTTCCCTCTTCTTTTCTCCACGTCTCCCACTCTCCCCTGTGCCGTGCCCTTTGGAAGCAGATGTCAATGCCACCTGCTCCAAAGAACAAGCCACAACTCAACCGATGATTTGATCAGACCGAGCGGGCAGTTCAAGACCATATATCATGAGGAGCTGGGCAGGTGCCCACTTCTCTTCCCACGGGTCTTCTGAAACAAGATCAACTTGCTCTCCCCCGGCCCCCGAGGTATCGTCCGCATTCTCTGGCTCTTTCTCCTCTAGCCGTCTTCCCTACCCGTGGCGTTCCTCTTAGGAAGCAACGTGGGAACGAGCCCCAAGCTCTCCGCGTAGGGCTGCACCGGCATGGGCTCCCCCACTCCTCCTCGCTGGTCTAGGCGCACCGCCTGAGTATCGGAGGACAATGAGGAGGCGGCGGCGGATGAGGATGATGATGAGCAGGAGGAGGATGATGAGCAGGAGGAGGAGGAGGAGGAGGAGGAGGAGGAGGAGGAGGAGGGGAGGAGGAGGAGGAGGAGGAGGAGGAGGAGAAATAATGCAAAATGCGCCTCGGCGTAGGTCTCCGAGCGCCGGATCGCGTCGATCCCGTTCTGGCGTTTTCGCCTGCCACAGGCTCCGCCCTCTTCCTCCCTCCTTCCCTCCTTCCTTCTTCTCCATCCCCCCCCGCCCTCCGATCTCTCCCGATTTCCCTCCCTCCCTCTCCACCCCTGCCTCTCTGTCGCCCTTCCCACCCCACGTTCCCGCTCCTCTCCGTCTCCCCCTCTCGTTCCCCCGCCTCCCGGCCTGCTCTCGCTGTCCCCTTCCCCACCCCCTGTCCCCCCCGTCTCCCTTCCCGTCTCCCCCCTTCTGCTGCGGAAGGACCGTGCCCTCGCAACTTGGATGACATTCGTTGTGTGCTGATTTCTCTCACAGCATCCCAAGGAATAAGGGGGAGGAGGAGGAGGAGGAGGAGGAGGAGGAGGAGGAGGAGGAGGAGGAGGAGAAGGAGGAGGAGCAGCAGCAGCAGCAAGCCGAGGAAGAAAAAGGGAGGGGCATGGCCAATGGGTGGGGACACGTTCTGAACACGTGCCCTTCCGATCCCACTGTGATGACATAGGCTTGCACTTGTAAGGCGCCCATCAAGTGAAAAGGAGGCTTAGGTGAAGGAGTTTGGTGCCATTTTGCGCTGGGCTCGCGATGCTATGACCTTCAGAGAACAACACCACTCGGTCAATGCAACTAACGATTCAGATTCAGCAGCGCATGAGTCAGATGGGGAAGGAGGGACACCACGACGAGCACGTGTGACTTCGGGCGCTGGCAATCGGATGCTGGCATTCTCGAGCACATGCGTGGTTCTCCAATTGGGCGAAGTCGCATCCAAACGCAACGAGCGGTGATGCATTGTATGGAGCAGTTGTGGGAACCACCAACAGATCGAGGCGCGATAGTGATACTCGCTGCAAGACTGGACAGCCGCTACGATCGGAAACTTCTGTATAGCGTGTGTCGCCCCGGCGGCCCCAGCGACACGCTGTGCCTTGCGAACGGATAGAGTGTTGATCCGCTCCGCGGGGCGGGGGGCTCGGGAACATTCGGGACGTCGACGCCTTAGGATCGCGAAGTGGATAGCGTGTCGCACCGAGGCGCTGTGGGCCAAAAACCGGCGGATCGACGCGCTATCCAAAAGTTCCTGACCGTAGACATCGCGTCTTGAAAGCTGTAGCGTGCGCGTGCTGCCCACGGGCGCGAACACTCACGTGCATTCTCTAAATGCCTCGAGCATCGGCGACCTCTCCGCTTCGACAATTGCTGCCATCAGAGTTCGCACCGAGCTTGCTGTCAATTTACCGAGCTTGCTGTCGATGTCCACGCCAGCGAGGTCACCGAGCATGCAGGTGGCAGCCGAAGCCAAGATCCGCAGGACCAGCGCCGTCGAAACTGACCCTGGTTCCGTCGTTCTCGTCGCGCTCCACCGTGCGGCGGGTCGGCCGTGCTCTCGCAGGTCCTCTTGCTGGCCAGCTCTGGGGAGGTGGTGGCCGAGTCGGCCTGACCTGGAGGACCGCGGGCGAGGAGGGTCTGCCTCGAGTATCATGCCCTCCGTCGCCTTGCTGGCCTGCACGTGGCCGAGTGGCCTGCAGCGGCGAAGATGTTGGCCCCCCGACAAACACACCAGTGGTGCCCGACCGCATGCACCAGGCTCGGAAGCCGGGCAAGGGCTGCTGAATCCGTGGCTGCTAAAATCGACCTCCGGGAAGTTGTCCTCGTCCTTCTGGGAAGAAGCCCGTTGACTGTTTCGCGTGCCGCGCCTCATTCCGGGACGTTGTTTGTTCCTTCCGGCAGGGCCGTTTTAGCAGCCACGGTTTTAGCAGCCCTCGCCCAGCTTCCGACAGGCAAGCCTGTAATCACCTGGGGGCAAGTCTGCGCTAGGCGAACCAACGCGCGAGACCGTGGCCAGTGCAGACAAGCTGAAACGGGCGTGGCCACGGCAGTGTAGCAGGGCTGTCCTGCGCATGCGGCCGAGACGCGACGCCCGGATCCCGCGCCTAGGCGCCGTGAGTCGCAAGGCACACTCGCGCGTCCCAGAGAACTCAAGAGGAAGAGGAAGAGGAGAGGGGGGAGAAGGGCTACGATGCTCGTCGTGGCATTCGGCGGCTCCAGCGCCCATCGCATGGAGAACCCCGTTCTCATTCCCGCTCGCCAGCGCGCCCGTCGTCCATGCGGTGGCGGCCTAAGCGAATCGGGTGTGGAGGCAGGACCGTCTTCATGCACCTGTTTCGCGTGAGGTTCTCGAAGTCTGGGCCCGACCACAAAACTGAAACCCTGCGGAGGTGCCCGATGCGCCGACAAGGGGTCGGGCAATTCTTGGGTGTGGCGTGTGAATCACCGCCCCCATGGTGAATGACCCAGGGATGCCGAAGACCTCGTCCCGCGTGCATGTGTTTGACACCGTGAAGCGGCACGACTGCAACAGACACCACGCGGCAGACGCAGGGACCCCCCCTCGCCGCTGCTTGCTCAATTCCTGGCTGAGTTCAAGCACGACTCCAACCACTGTCAGCGACCCTGTTGAGCTGTCAGCTTCCACAGCCCCCATCGGGCACGCGAGTGCAGAATGCCTGGCCATGGGGAAACAGAAACGGCCCGAAACGATATTGTTTGCGGGAGGGGGAGGACGAGGAGACGGAATAAGAAGACGAGGGTGAGGGGGGAGCAGGGGCGAATCCAAACATTCCCAACGTGCCAGAGCCATGTGTGCACCCCCAAACGGTTCAAGCTGGTTTCTCCTTTTCCTCCTCCTTCGCCTTCTTCTGAAAGCCCTCGACCACCGCCTCCGCCGCCATCTCCACCGCTACATCCACCACCTCCGCCCGAACTTCCATCTCTGTCTCCACCTCCATCTCCGCCTGCGCTTACGCCTGCGCCAGCGCCTATGCTCCATGTCCGTCTCCGTCTCCGCCAAGACCTCCTCCTCCTCCTCCTCGTCCTCCTCTTCCTCGTTCCCTCGCCTCTGCTCTACTTTCTTCCTCCTCCGTCCTCTGTCGTCCGTCGTCTGTCCTGCTGCTGCTGCTGCTGCTCCTCCTCTTGCTCCTCCACAACCTCCTCGTGCTCCTCCTCCTGCTGCTCCTCCTCCTTCTCCTTCTCCTCCCTTTCTCTTCTTCCTCTTGCGCGCGCCCTGCCTGCTGCCAGAGGCGATGAGGATCACTATTTTTGCCCCCCCCGCCTCCTCCGCTGCTCATCAGTCTCCTCGGGCAGCGGAGGGACGTCGCCATCCTGCGGGTGTGAGCGCCGGCTCCCCCCAGCCCCACTTCCCCTGCCTCTGACGACACTTCCTCCTCCCTTCCCCCCCCCCCCTCCTCCTCCTCCTCCTCCTCCTCCTGCTCCTCCTCCTCCTCCTCCTCCTCCTCCTCTCTCCTGCTCCTGCTCCTCCTCCTCCTCCTCCTCGTCCTCCTCCTCCTCCTCCTCCTCCTGCCTCTCCCTCCTGCCTCTCCCGCCCGCCCTCCGCATCCTGCGGGTCGGCAGGCCCTGCAGGCGCCGGCGCTGCGCCCTGGCCGCCGTCTGGCGCGACGGCCGCCGCGGCCGCGGCGGCCGCCGCTGCGCCCCCGCCGGGGCCCCCGCCCCGCGGCGCGGCGGGCGCGGCCGCGCGCGGGCCCTGCTGGCCACCCTGCGGCGCGGCGGGCGCGTCCAGGGGAGGCGCTGGCGCTGCGCGCCAGCTGGGATGGCCACCCTGCGGCGCGGCGGGCCCCGCCTCTGCGGGGGCGGGCGCCGCCCCCCACGCGCGGCGGCCGCCCGGCGGCGTGGCAGGCGCAGGCTCTGCTGGCGGCGGCGCTGGGCCCCAGGCCTGGTGGCCAGCAGGTGTCCTGGCAGCCGGCGGCAGGGGCGCCGCGCCCGAGGCGGAGCTGCCCCAGCCACCGTGCAGCGCAGGCGGCATGCCGCCCTGCGGCGCGGCGTCCCAGGTGAACAGGTCGCCCTGCGGCGCAGGCGCAGGCGCTGCGCCCCAGGCAGAGTGGCCAACCTGCGGCGCGGAAAGCAGCAGATGCTGTTGCTGAGCCTGTTGCTGCTTCCGTTGCTGCTGCTGATGCGTGCTGCCCCCTGGCACATCGTTTCCTCACAGGGTGCCCCTGCATCGGCACGAAGATGACATCCGAGGCGAATCTGAATAGTTGCTCTATGGCATGCGCGCGACTTCGGCTCGTTGCGATGGCTCACCTGCTGAATTCCAGCAGCCCTCTGGGCGGAGGTGGTCTAGATTGTTTCTTCTTCCAATCCCCTTCTTCCCCTTTGGAGAAAGTCTATTTTGGCTTGTTGGCTCCTTATTCATAATCGCCCTCCCCCCCCCGGCCGGCGACAAACCAGGGACCATTCCAAGACTCCCCCACCATCCCTGTCAAATAACAATACAACAAATACTTTGCGGCACAACCTGGTACCATGCGCGATCACCTCGTCAGCACTTTTTTATATGAGACGAGGCTGACTGTAGGAGTGATAGTTCCACCCCTAAAATTCTTCCTTGCTGATCAATGCCTCTAGTCTGGGAATCGTTTGTGGATGGGCTGGTAGAGATACTATTTCGGTTCGCGGGCTCGCGAAGCAAGTCGAAAGCCGGGCAAAGCTAGGGGCTGGCAGGGATACGCGAAGCGTCAATCAATCCTTGTGCCAACGTGTATTGCGTTTGGTTCACCATCCTGAGGTGTGCTTGTTTGCTCTGGTGTTTATTGCGCTCGTGCTCCTGCTTGTGCAACTTATGACGGACAGGGGTACTCGTAGAACCAGGAATGCATCATTCTTAAAGTCAAAAGCCCCCAATAAGGACGCGCGGTAAGGGCGCAAGACCCTTGGAAGCCGAAGTTGGGATTTCTGGGGCGGCGGACGATGAACACCCCAAGGACGCAGGAGCAAGGAAGAGCAAGGACGCAAGGGTACCCTGAGCAAAGCCGCGCGTCCTTATGATGGTTTTTGACTGTATTCATCCTGCATATGGGGCCGAGGTCGACTCTGAACTCCAGGTCCATCATATTATGGAAGCGGCAGCAGGCATCGCCAGGAGAGACATACCCACTCGCATCCAGGTCTAGTCGAGGCCAAAGGCATCAGTAGCCCGACTCTGGAACTCAGAGGCGGAGCAGGAGACGAATAGGCAGAATCTGTAATCTGGAGTCCAGAACCGATGCTGGCGATGGAATTTCAATCAGGGATCCAGAGGCCGAATGGCAGCACAAAGAACATAAACTTAACCTCGAATCTGCAATGCGTAGCGCCCTGCGTTTGCGAGTGCGAGTGAGGGGGCGGTGAGCGGGCGGTGGCAGGGCCCGATTAGGCGCATTTCCGAATGTGAGTCCCGATCCCATGTAGTGCCCCCATGTATTCATTGCCCCAATGAGCTGCCCCCATGTACTGCCCCCCCAAAATCGCAGATGCCGACTTCTCCATCCGGCCACTCTTGCGCAGGGCGATAGTAAGACCGTTGGGGCCCACTCGCTCTGGTGGACGCGAGGCCTGCGGAAGCATGCGAATCAAGAGTCCACCACCATAACCCAGAACATTGTTGACAACTGAGGATGAGGAGGATCATGCGTACCGATGCTAATGGACATCGAGCACGGAGAACGTGCACAAAATCAACCCGGACGCGCGCGACGCTGGAAGACCCAAGCCAACTCGAATCCGAAATCCGGAAGCCTGGCTCTAGACACGCGGAGGTCACACCAAGAGTCTGGATTACGCATCCCCGCGTGGAAGTGGGAGAGACAGGCGGAAGAGAGGGTGATGATACTAACAAGGGAGAAGGAAAAGAACCTGCAA